TGTCTTCCGTGGAGATCGCACCAATGTGTATTACCACTGGCAGTGTGTGTGAGTGCCTGCTGTTTTACAACCAGGCCTGCTAATTAAATTGTTGGGGTTTTGCCAATCTGATGAGAAAAAAAAATGGCATCCGTGTAATTGCATTTACATTCCTCTTATGAATGAAGTTGAGTGTCTTCTCATTTGGTTAAGAGCCACTTGTATTTTTGTGTACTTAACTCTTCATACTCTACTTTCTTACCATTTTCTGGAGGGTGATCGTATGTTAAATGACCACCCTTTAGGAGAAGTTGGCAGTATTCCATCCACTTAGTCATTTATTTTTGGATATATGTTTTTACATTCCTATGTAGTTTATTGTCATGCAGAGTTGTGAAGAGCCCTGGAGTTTCACTCATGGCTACAGCAGAATAATTTGGATTATGAAGGATTTCCCTATGTTTTCTTGGTCAACACATATGATCTCATTATTCACATTTAACATCCCCCCCCCATTTATTATTTATTCTGGCTTACAGTGTGGAGTATATAATCCCAACAACATTTACTACACTTTACCGTCCTGGTCACATGTTAAATGTATTTGGCTCTATTCATGGACAGCCTATTGTATTCCATTGCACTCCATTCATCCACTAATTCAATCTGCTTATGCACAGAGCGAACACTGCTTGAATTAAGGAGATTAATGTCATTTTATAATGTAGTGACCATCTACTCTTTTTGCTCTGCTTTTAATGAGCTTTCACGATTTTTCTTTGTTGATGATATTTATTTATTTAATGTGTATGAGGGTTTGGCCTGCATGAATTTATGTGTTCTACATGAGTGCAGTGCCCATGGAGGCCAGAAGAGGGCATTGGATTCCCTGGAACTTGATTTATGGAGGATTGTTAGCTGCCTTGTGGGCCTAGCTAAATTATTTCATTTAATTTCTGTTTATGTGACAATATCATCTAACATGGAGGTTGCTATGCATTGGATGTGTTCCCCAGGCCACTGTTTGGAAGTAGAGGAATTTGTGGAAGATGGGCCCATTGGGAGGAAGTTCTTCCACCAAGGACATGCCCTAGAGAGGATATGGGGACCTCAGCCCCTCTTCTTCCTCTCTCTTTCCTATTCAGCCACCATGAGGTGAGCAGTTTTGCTCTATCATGGCATGCTCTACCTATGATGGATGCGTCCTTACCACAGGCCCCAAAGCAATGTGGCCAAATGTCCAAGACTCAAAGCTGAAGCCGTGAGATATGCCAGAAACTTTATTGTAAGAATGCAAAGCTGACCAAAACAGAGACCATATTAATTTTCATAAAATACAAAAGATTATGTCATTAGGAAATTAAATATATACCTTTAAGATAAAATCCAGCAGTACTTTGGTTTGCATCATGAAATCAATAGCATTTGAATGTCACAATTTGTAGAGAACTTTTTCCCCAAGTGATGCTTTAAGTGAATTTTAGTGGTTGGGAAGCCTTGACTCCTCTGTGCCAGGAGTTTTGTACATTAAGCAGTGACTGTGGGAAGAGTAACAAGATGTGGAACTTAAGGTTCTTTCCTCTTGTCTTTTTATAAAAATGGTAATCTGTTTTGACGGAGATTATCTTTGCATTTCAGCTATCTCTGCCACTGTTCAGCCAGTAATTATTTGTTAAACCTCTGCTGTAGGCCAGACTATGAACGGTTCTGGCAGGCAACAGTGTGCAATACAGAAAGGGCTCAACTTGAAAAGATTTCTAGTCTGTAAACAAAGACATACTCTAGAGTCATCTTTGGAGTAAGTATCTCGAAGGAGTTTCTTAGTAGAGACAAGTCGACTGGCACTTGGAGAAAGATAATTTCCTATTATTATTCGGTATTGGTATGTCCCAGATCGAGGGTGGCACACTATTATTGTTACGATCTTTAAGACACACATCAAGATGCGTAGGCATTCAGAATCCACACTCCATTAGAGGTGGCCAAAGTCTGGGATTTTCACTTAAGGCTATTCTCTGTAAATCAGAATTTGAACATGCTTGAATAACTTTGTCTTTACTCATTTAACAATCTAAGCTTAAATTTTAACTTGCTAACAAGAATACTACTTAAGATAAATGTGTTTCTTGCTAACAATCAGAAATTCTCTGACAAAGATTAAGAACTGAGGACAAAATAATTTGAAAAGCACAGAAGGAACAACTTCCTGTAAATCCTTGTTTGCTATAGTGATTTACATATATTCTACTTGGAAGCTGTGTCCTATTGTTTTAACACAATAGACTGTTTTTAATATGCAGCGTGTAACTTAGATGAGCTATGAAATCTTTTGTTACTCATAACAGTTGAAATAATTCTTGAGTATTGATGACATGAGATTTTAAAATTGAAAACTTTCTCAAAGTACTACTTAAGTTTTTATAGTAAGTATCCTAATTTTGGGGCAAATGTATATCTCAAAATACCTTTCAGAAATAATACTGTGGTTAAGAGCACTGGTTGCTCTTCCCAAGGAACTGGTTTCAATTCCCAGTATCCACAGGACCGCCAACAACCTTCCATAACTCCAGTTCCAGGTAATCTGATGCCCTCTTTCGGCCTCTGAGAGCAGTGCACTACCATACATGCAGGCAGAAAACTCATGGACATAAAATTTAAGACATAATAACACTATCAGCAAAACTAAAAATTTGACAGCCATCTAAATTTTAATTTCTTGAAACACTGAGAAGCTATTTTCTTTACAAATAATTTTGATTTATTTATTCTTATTTTATGTTTATGAGTGTTTTGCCCACATATATCTAAGTATACGTGTGTGTGTGTGTGTGTGTGTGTGTGTGTGTGTGTGTGTATGATGCCTGCAGAGGCCAGAGAGGGTGATGGATCCCCTGGAACTAGAGTTTTAGAGCCATCTTTCCAGCCTAGAGTCTGTTTTCTTGAAGCACTTTAGATTGAGGCCCATGCAGGTACATTTTTTGGTACCATCTATAGAATTTAACAACTTTATGATTTTTGTTTTTGTTTTTATTTTTAAAATTCCTTTTCATTGTATGTGTATAAGTGTATTACAATGCCTGTGGAGATCAGAAGAAGACACCGGATCCCCTGGAAATGGAGTTACAAATGGTTGTTAGGTGCCATGTGGGTGCTGGGATTCAAACCCCGGTCTTCTGCAAGAGCAGCCAGTGCTCTTAACCACTGAGCCATCTCTCCAGCCCCAACTTTATGTTTTTTAAAAAATCCAGATTATTCAGGTTTATAATATTGTTTGAAATAACATCTCTCCAAGTAATTACAACTATTTTTTTCTTTTCCTTCCTCCCTCTCTTTCTCCCTCCTGTATCCCCCACTCCTTGTGTAGTTGACTTGCAACTTACTATGTAACCCCACCGGAGCTCAAACTCACAGCTTTCCTTTTGCTTCAGTCTCCTAGGATCTGGGATTATAGGTGTGAGCCACCATGCATGGCTAGGTAGTAGTACTTTTACAAAAGATATCTGTTAGGCATTCATGAGTAATGACAGTACAAATAGAAATATATTGTGAACACCTCCCCTTAGGCGTGTGCTGTAAAGTGGGAGAAATGTCTTGTGTTCATGATATTGTTTATAGCTTGTTTGTAGATGCAAAGCATCTTGGTGTCACATAGTGAGTTGGGGTAGAGGAGTAAAGGAAGCCCAGGAAACCCTCACGCACTGTTTCAGGAATTATCAGTGTAGAGCAATCCTTGATTTAAAGTTAATTTTAATGTAGCAGGAAGATGCAAACACAGTTACACAATCTACAGATAATGCCACACAACACATTGTACAGAGAGATGTCTCCCTAAGGGATAAGGACCTAGGATGCCAAATACAAGCAAGAGTGATAAGCAGGTAGGTCTAATTTTTAAAAAAAATGAAGTTTATTTAAGAATTTCCAACAATGACAAGTCATAAGAGCATCCAAGGACAGGACACAGAACTGTAACAAACAACATCAACGAAAACAAAATCACTTTTTCCAAGTGGGTCAGTGTGAAACCTGCCTTCAGTCAGTGTCCAGCTATGCTCAGTTCCCACTGCACCAATGGTCAATGGAATCAAAACGGAAGCCCAATTCACTGCCCTAAAGGGGCAACACTTAGTGGACTCATATGGAGTGCAAAAATGGCTCTGTGACTTCAACATGGTCAAGTCTTAAACAAGAGAATCAGGAGGTGGGTGTGGATAAAATGAAGCCTGAGAGTTGAGGGGATGGTTGGTGAGGACTGACAAATTTAGGGTTTGTAAATATGGAGATTCAAACTAGAGTGCTGGGGAATCTGATGCCCTCTGACCTGTACAGTCACCTACACGCATGTAGTATACATAGACTCATGCAGGCACATAAACATACACATAAACAAATCTTTTTAAAAAACTAACATGTTATTGGATGGCGACTCCTTATGATGCAATTATATTGCAAATGCTTAGAAGTGATAGAACATTCAAAGGAATCTCTGTCAATCTAGGGGAAATGATTGATGTCTATTGGAGTCAGCACAGGACGCATTTGGAGAATAAGGTGGTGACGGTAATAGGCTATTTTGGCAGCCTGTAATGTTTCATCCAGGAAGTTGAGTATCACTGAGCTTTAAAACACAAGAGTCAAACTGCTAAATAACTTACGATCATTTTTATTGTTCAATATTTATTTTTCTTGCTTTATAAGATACGGGTTAAATATAAGACTCCCATTCAGGAGAGTATAGAGATTCTGTCTCTGATATGAGAGTTTAATCCAAAGCACAAATAACTGAGATGGGTTAATAGTGTGATATCCTGTACTGTTACATTGTACAAACATAACTGCGTTTAACATAACTTGAAGAACATATTCTCAGGGGGTTCAAAAGCTTTAGAAATGATTATGAAAAAAATAGTAAGGTCTATGCTTTAAAAAGACATTACCATTTGAAAATTGAAAATATTAGGGTTTTCTCCACAATTATATAGAAAATCACTATATGTAGTAATTATGGGGAATTCACTTACCCGGGTTCACGAGTGGAGAGTCTTCAGTTGTTGTTTGTACAGGATCTGAGAGAAAAAAACTAAGTGCACAATCACTCTGAAAAAAAAAAAAAGAAAAGATAAAATAGAGTATTTCTCCATTGCTTATATTTATTGACCACTCCTATTCACTGTTGCATGAAAACATTTCTAGTCATACATGATTTTTTAATGAGTGCCGTTATTGATTACGTAAATAGAGAAACATTTATTTGCAAGTGTATTGTCAATATTATTGTTTGGCTGTAAATTAAGCTAGTATTTTGCATGATTGGAGGTTAAATTTTATTTCTTCAAGAGATTCCAGTGTGTTCTGTCCCTGGAGTTTATCAGAAATGTTTGTGTTCTGTAATTACATAATTATACATGAATCTCACGTTTCCCTTTCCTACAAAACATACATCTTTGCATAATGGTTTCTGAGAAAAACTACTATCAACCCAGTTGCCTGCTTAGTGAGTAACCATGACTCAAGTTTTGATTCAAAGAATGTTCATTGATTACTAAACTCATTGTTAAGGCTGAGGAATATTAGGAGGCATTTAGAGAAAGGCAGACACATAAGGCAATCTTTCTCTTCAGCACAGTCTAGGAGATAAAACAACATTAAGTACAATCAATTTTGGTTATATATAGTTTTGATTATAAAAGTAAGTATAATCAAAGCTGGGTGTGATGGGGCATGCCTTTAATCCCAGCACTCAAGAGGCAGAGGCAGGTGAGATCAAGACCAGCCTGGTCTACATAGTGAGTTCCAGGCCAGCTGGGGCTACAGGGAGATAAAATCTCCAAAAAAATCACAAATGAATTGGCATTTAACTTGAACTCAAAATGTACTCATGATTGGTAAATCTGAGGTTAGTTCTTCCTCACTGAAATCCGTATGCATTTGTTGTAAGCTGTTACACAACCAAGGTAGCCCCTCTCCACAAGATATTACATGTTGGGGAGAATGGCTTTACCTGAGCACTGCTGAGAGTATGTGTGAATGTGCCTGCACTCAAGGATGTCTATGTGGTGTAATGCTGCACACACATGGATGTTGAAGTGGATAAAAGAAAGCCGTGTCCTGGACCCCAGACTTGATAGTATAAGAGCGCTTTAACCACAAATCACAGGCTTCGTTTTCTTCTTAGCAAACAAGTTCTCTGGTTTAAAAAAGCATACCCAGGGTCTTGAGGAAGTTTCACAAGACTGTCTGCTCTAAGTAATGGTCTTCGTTCGATTTATGTAAGCTACGGCAATAAAGGCACAGGAGGAGAAATACTCAGCCTCTGTTCCCTCGCCACAGACCTCCTGGTACCCACCCTTGAGATTCTGATTAAACGTCGTGTCATTTCCTTTATGCTGCACTGTCCTTCTTTGAGAATTCTCTGAATCCTGCTGCGCTGGACATAACAACTACATTATTATATAAAGGGCACACTGGCTTTTTGATTATTTCTTATATGTATGGGCTGATACAGTAGCAACTGTCCAAATCCCCTGCCCTTCAGTCTTCTCTTGCTCTGTACAATGGTTCCTTGGAAACTCTTAGGAAACTTAAACTTCTAAGCCTGACTTTGCTGCTGATGACCGTGTCTGCTTCAGAGAATGTAAAAACGTCCTGCTATCAAATCTACACACACACACCACACACACACCACACACACACACCACACACACACACCACACACCACACACACACCACACACACACACACCACACACACACCACACACACACACCACACACACCACACACATACACCACATACACACACACACACCACACACATACACCACATACACACACATACCACGCACACACCACACACACACCACATACACACACACCACACACACACCACATACACATACCACACACACACACACACACACACACACACACACAAAAAAAAATTGCATTTGTTCTTTCTGGTTGCAATGGAAGAAAGGTCCACTTCCCATCTTGTAGCTTCAATTTTTATCTCCCCACCAAGTTCACAGACTGAGGTGTCAACTCCCAGGACCATGGACTGTGATCTGATTTGAAAATAGAGTCATTAAAGATGCAATTTGTTAAGATAGAATGGGAGCCTCTACACTGAATGTGATTGGTGTCTTTATAAAAGGGGCAGTTTGGATACAAGGCCTCACAAAGGGAAGACAGGACAGACACCGGGGCATGTTGCCGATGGAAGGAAGTGCTAGCATCGAATCCTCCATTGTGGCTTCCAGAAGAAAGTAACACTGTGGATAGCGGCAGCTTTCTTGGTTTTAGATTCTCAGCTGCCAGATGCTTAGACAACATGCTTTTGTTTTTTAAGCCCCTGGTTCCAGTCTGTTATTTTGGCATGGCAGCCCTAGAAAATCATCCTCTCCGTCAATGTCTGCATCACTGTGTGGAATTAGATTTCTTTCATGGAATGTGTCCTGTTTTCTGACATGGTTCTCTTCCTACAGGACCTTTGCTTCTTCTCCACCCTACTCACCATTTGCCCAAAGCTGATCGTGTCCTCTTTTCTTCAGTCAGCAACTGACCAAGAGCAGAGACTGAGACTTACTCACTCATGCATGATGCAGGATTTCTGTTCAATAGTATGTGTCAAAGAAGCAGAGATCCGTCTTCTGATATAGATTATCTTGGTTTCTAATGCAAATATTCTTATCAATATAGCAGTTTATATACATTGTAAATTAATCTATATCTTCTGATATAGATTGTCTTGGTTTCTAATGCAAATATTCTTATCAATATAGCAGTTTATATACATCGTAAATTAGTCAGTGTTCATCTCCACATATTGATCGTATGTGAGGTTTTAAACAGGAAACTGTACTTAAGAAAACCAGTCCATATTCAAGAAACTGCATCAAATTTAAAAAAATTTGAATATTTAAAATCAAATGCAAGACTGAATTGATAGAGGAAAACTGACCTTCTTTAGCCTTTTGACAGCTAGTCAATTACTCATTTTTAGCAAAAGTTTGACCTTACTACCCAGTGGATGTTAAACTTCAATACTAGGCAAGATAGCTTTCCAGTCAGTGTCTGAAATTTCACTACTAGGTAATCATTCCCTTGTGTTTACACTGTTATATCACTGAGGTCTTCATTTGTAATTCTAGGTGCAGGTGAAATACTAATTCTTTATTGCAACAAGATTTTATTTTTTCCCTGTGGGGAAAACATGGTCCAATATCAGAGAAATGAAAACAAACAAACAAACAAACCAGGCATGGAAATCCCAACAGTCAGGCAGGCTGAATCAGGAAGATCATGAGTTCGAGGCCAATCTGAGCTACATTACATAGTGAGACATTGCTTGAAAATGATGATGGTGGCAAGGGTATTGCTCAATCTCAAAATAATCATTAAATTTCCTCGCATTTTACTTAGGAGCACAAGCCCCAGAGGCAATTTGGACTTGTAAAAATGTTAGTGATGAAATTATTTTCACTGATAACCTGCACCGTGGTTTCCCCCTGGGCTTGTTTTGTTCTCCAAGCCCTGTGACTGCATTTGCTTGGCTGGGATGTATGATGCACAACTCTGGAAGTGCCGTGTTTGCACTGACTGTGACATTTCCATACACGGCCGGCTCCCCATTCACAGAGTTCCCGCATATAGTAAATAAAAGCAGAGGATGTCCATGTGATATTTGGGAGATACACTTACTAAAATCATTTGTTATTTATTAAAAATCCAATGTAATGAGTGGCCTATATTTTATCCAATACCTCATGTGAGGTACTTGGAAAATATGTGGCATCTTTTTGGTTATTTTCCTGACTGGAGGGTACAATGAACAATGATCACTGCGGTGGTTTGAATGAGAAGTGTCGCCCATAGGCTCAAGTGTTTGGACACTTGCTCAGTTGGTGGTGCTGTATGGGAAGGATCATGGGACCTTTAAGAGGTGTGGCCTTGTTAAGGAAGTATGTCGCTGTGGTGGGCTTTGAGAGTTCATAGCCTTGCCTCAGTTTCAGGCATTAGGATGTGAACGCTCAGCTTTCTGCTCTGGCTGCCTCCTGCCATGCCTCCCCACCATGATGGAGTCCGGAACCATAAGCCCAATAAACTCTTCCTTTTATAAGCTGCCTTGGTCATGGTGTTTTATCACAGCAACAGAAAAGTAACTAATTCAATGGCTTATCCTAAAATCTCTAGTATATTTTTTCATTATATGGGCTGGGTATATAGGACAGTTGTAGAACACTTGATTACCATATATAAGGCCTGGGTTTGATCTCCAGCACTGAAATAAAGCCTTAAAACTAACAAATAAATAGAACTTGTATCCTTGCATGACAATATTTTCCTGGGCAAAAAAATCTGAATTTCATTTCTTCATTCTAGAAATGAGAGGACAGTGGCTGATTGGAATCAACAGCGCAGTCAATAAGACCAGGCTCACTTTTGTGACTGTCCCAAGAGTCCTTTAGAATGCAGACTGCATATGGAGGCCGAGGGGGAGACATGGCAGGAAAAACTTAACCCTAGAGTGTTCTAGTCATTTCTTTACACTTAAAGTTAACATACACTATCCCTGTGTTTTAAGCAGAGTGCATCATGATCAGTTTTGTTTAAAAGAAGACAGCGTAGGCTGAAGGATAAAGAAAGGACAGAAGTAATTCCTGGAGATTGCTGTTACATAATCCCTCACATAGTCACACTACTTTTTTCTCTGAGCATTGCATTCTGTTTCCCCTGGAAGGCCCTGAAATGGAAGTCCCTGTTAGAGGCCTGGTCCTAGCTGAGAGGTGGGATCTTCATGTCTCCCTTCTCTTGTGACTTCTATCCCTCTTTTGTGAACATGACCTGCCTTGAACATCAAGCCTACCTGCCGTGTTGCTCTCTATTCCTCGCCATAGCATTTTCCTACAGACATTTGGGCCACTGCACCTCATTTCCTAAGACCTTCAGTCCTAGCATACTTCACTTTCTCTCTTGTAGGACTCTTGTCATTATCTTCTTATTTTAATATTTACGTAAATCACTCTTCTGAAACTTAGATACTTTGTTCTTGATTTCCTCTCCTTCAGTGACCTTGTTCTATGTTCCACTTAGACACCTA